ATGCAAAAGTATGACATTCCCACCCATTTTCTGTTGGTGATGTCAAGTAGGTAATAAATTCAGCTGAAGCACAACTGAGTGCTTAATTATTCAATTTAAGCTGACAAATCAAATGAGGCATCCTTAGTAAATTTGTTGGGCAACACAAATTAAAAGAGAGGTGACACCTGCTAAGCTACTGTATTGCCAAGGTATAGCCTCACAGATCAATGATGCCAAGAAAAAGAGATATCTAAGGACATCAGTCTGGAGGGAAAGCTATAAGACCATATAAAAAAGATTGCAGCTCTATCCATCCACTGTATGACATAATTCACAAATGGTGAACATTCAACTTGACTGCAGCTCTGTCTAGAAGTGAACGTCCATCAAAAATATCACTGAGAAAAATAATAAATCAAGTAAAGACCAACTCACCTTTCTGACAGCATCTTGAGTAAATGTACATGCCGACAATCAGACAAAAATTAAAGTGACATTGGAGGGTCACTAGAAAGAAGCCCCTGTTCTCAATAAAGAACAAAATTGCCCATTTAAACTTTGCCAAAGAACACTTGGACAAACCAGAAGCCTTCTGGAAGTCCATTTTCATCTGGACAGATGAGTATAGATAGTTTTTATTGTGACCAAACAATTCTGTAATGTATGGAGAAAAGCCAACACTGCCTATCAAACAAAGAACTTCATTCCAAAAGTGAAGCATGGTGATGGAAATGTTAAGATCTGGGTCTGCTTTTCTGCCTCTGGGCCTGGATGACTTCATATCCAACAAAACCTGAATTCTCAGTCCTATCAAATTCTGGACCAGAATCTCCTATCAGTCGGGGAGTTGAAGCTTGGCAGAAAATTGGTTCTGCAATAAGACAATGAGTCTAAGCATACCAGCAAAACTTATCAAAGAATTGTTTAACCATTACCACATTGCAGGCAATAATAGTTGCAGTAGAATTCTCTCCCTTGCTACTCTAGGTGAATTCTGTCACCTTGTCAGACGGTTGCTATAACTAAACACTTGTTAACTGTTATTTCTGGTATTTTAAGCTGGAAATCAACTACTGCTGCTTTGGAACAAGGCTAAACTTCCTTTTTTTTTTTTTTTTTTTTTTTTTATTTAATTCTTCTACACTCTACACAAAGTGTAACATTGATTAAACCCACGTTAATTTTTTCACGATTTTTTGTAAACAAAAATGGCTGCATGAATATCCAACAAAGCCTTTATTCAGGAGTTTTTCTTTAAGATTCTGATGATTTTGAAGGCTTTACTTGAGTGGATAGTGACGGTGAAGTGGTCGGAGATGATAACCATGCTAGTGACATGGAGAAAAGCGATGATGACCACTAGAGGCTACTATTACCCATGTCTGACTAATTTTATGGAAGTTACTGGCGACCAATATATATGATAGCATTTCTGAAGGTGAATTATGTTGTCTATTTATAAATGATGAAATGATAAATTTATTTGTCAATGAGACAAATATGTGTCTCTTATGTAAACGTGAGGAAACACTTCTCTTTTTTGAAGAAATGAAAGCCATCTTAGTGATTTTGCTTCATATTGCACCCCCCCAGAACTCCACAAGAAGTAATAAAAGTTAAAGTACATTGAATTATTTATGTATTTTTTTAATGTATTTGTTTTTTTATTTTGTGTTTTAATTTTTTTTGTTTTCAATATCAAAACATGCATTCAAAATGCAATGCATTACATCAAAATATTACTTATTCTTTTATTAGTATACAAAAATTCAAATCTATATGCACAATACAAAGAAAGTTATAACAATTTTAAAACAGTAGGTGTTCATGTTTTTGCACCCTCCAAAAAAAAAAATGCAGTGGCAGGGGGAACAATTCATAGAAATAAATTAGCAATGTAATGGTTAAAAGAAATAGGCTTCATACTATGGATTGGCCCAGTGAAAGTCTAAACATCAATCTGATAGATATGTGGTAGGCCTGAAGCTGGCAGTTCATGCCAGATGTCTTGCCAACTTCTCTTAACTGGCTGAATTTTGCAAGAAGGAATGGGCCAAAATTCTCAGATCTAAGAGACTGGTCAGTTGTTAGAGAATACTAAAATAATTGCTGCCAAATGAGGTGTCACAAGATACTAAATAAAAGGCTACATTTATTTTTGCACATGTCAAATTTTCAGTTCTGGTGAAATAAAACCATTTTTCTTTCTTTCATTTGTTTTTTTGCTTTTTTTGCTTTTTTTGCTTTTTTTAATGAATAATTAAAATGTATCCTTCTTTTAGTCTCTTCATTATTTGGAATATCTAGTTTACAAATTGGTGTTTGAATCCATATTTAATAGGCTAATTTTATATTTTTTCTTAATAACAAAGACCATGTTCCAAACTTTCAAGCAGCATTGTATAACTCACAGGGATTTAGGTTCTATTTCTATATTACCTTAAAAGTGCATTACTATGTACTTATGTAAAGCAGATGACTGATTTTTGCCCAAATATTTACCAACTGTTAGTCTTGTACTACATACTGTTAGTAAATAGTATAAATAGCTACTTTTAATCTAATATTGTCTCGAAACTCTTATTTGTGTTTTTTTGTTTTTCTTTTTTTTAACAATTACATGAAGAATTAGTACTTGGTTTAGAGTTGTTACATATTTAATTTAAATTGTTATTTTTTTTTAAATATTCAGGAAATTAATATTCCATGTTTTAAAAACGGATATCTACTCAAATATGTGTATCCACTAAATATAACATAGTAATAAGGAATATATATGTATATAATTATTTTTTCAGTGTTGAGAATTATAATTATGTATACAATATCATACATGTGTTATGTTTATTTTTTCATATTACTGAGGTAAAGATGTACAGGGTGTGATGGGTAAATTGTTGCCATTTTATATTTTTAATTATGTGCATGTGCGTTGTTTGTTTTTGATTTTGTTGACTGCACGGTATAGTAGGATCAGTTGGCCACCGTCTGTGAGAAAAAGAACACCATGATGTAATTCATGCTGCCAGAAATTTGCAAATGGCATACTGTACTGATTACCATTCATGCTGGAAGCTTCAATATGAACATTTCAGAGTGTTTGGGTGTCAATCTGAGGACAGTGCAGAGGATTGACAATGATCCCTCCAAGTTTTTTATCAGGCAGGTAGTGCATGAAGACACACAGTATTTCTTATAAAAGATGGGAAAGGGCCAATTTTTATCCCAAGCCATGGAGGACAAGAGGAAAGACTGTGCTACAAAGCTTTTGAACAAACTCAAGCATCTGTTTCAACTGAACATACTTTGGTTTTTCTCAGATGAGCAAAATTTCTGCCTGGATAATATGGGGAACACACGGAAGAACTGTTGGCTTACTGTGTCCCAAAAAGATGTACCATGAGTAATGAAAACCAAATATCCAGTCAACATCATGGTGTTTGGAGTGATCACTAGTGAAGGTGACACTATGCCTTCATTCATCTTCCCACAGTGGCTAACACTCAACACAAAGGCTTACATCAAGTGCTTTGAGGTGGTAGTGCTGCCCTGGGTCAAGAGGGTGGCTGCTGGAAGGCCCTATATCTGGCAACAGGACTCTGCACCATGCCACGTAAGCAAGGGAACCAGGTCATGGTTGTCAGACAATTTCTGTGACCACATCACTCTTACATTTGGTTACCTAACTCCCCAAACTGCAATTACCTTGTTTATTATGTGTGGGGTGCAGTTGAATAAGAGACAAACAAAACTCGTTGTAACACTAAAGATGCTGAAGGCAATGATTATGATAACATTCACCAACTTAAACAAGGCGACCATCCAGAAGAATTGCAGGAGATTCCAGTCATCTGGAGGCCATGGTTAAAGCCAATGGTGATTTTATTGAATGAATTTACTCTTTAGTATTTCAAGATATTTTTGTGTAATTTTGGTAAATATATCTGTTAAAATGAAATGTCAGTGTTATTTTCCTTTTTGTATAATTTAGATGATAATTCATCCATCACAACCTATATATAGTAGTTTATAAATAAAAAAAATTGTAAAAAATTTGATCATTAAGTATAAGTTTTATATTTTGAGATCTAGTGGGCGATTATTATTAAGAAATATGTCAATTATCTCTTTCTGAATATGACTTGATATAACTTGGATTTTTTTTTTTTTGTGTATAGCCCAATATAAAAGATAAAACTGCAATTTAGCCTCTAATTATTTCATCAAAAAATGTAGAAGTATTGACATGCTGCAAGTAATCATTAAGATATTGCTTGTGCAAATTGTTATTGATACATGTTAATTACACAAATAGAATTAAGTGTGAAAAAGATTCAGTGAAACAAGTAGTATGCTTTACAGATTGTTAGATTTTTCCTCATCAATGCTACTATACTGGAGTTTCTGTATTTAACTAAGAGTGCTGTAAATCTGTCGGTACTTGACCATGACTTTCCTCCCACTGTGTGTACCTGATGACTTCTCATTAGTCTCAATGTTAATCTATTTAGTGTAAAACTATATATTTATGTACAGAACTTTTAGGATAGACAAAACTTGGATGAATTTAAATATGTTGCTAGACAAATTGTAACTCTTAAAATGTTGGTGTTCTTTTTATACTGTTTAAGAATATTTGCTTAGATTGTGGTTTTCAAGCAATGAACTGTCATTTTATTTTGCCTTCATGCAAAATTTGGTTGGTAGCTTATATAATTCTTAAAATACTTGTTTGGTGTTTGAATCTAGAAGTAAATGTCTGGGCTTTTAACATATTTTTAATGCTCATATAACCATGCTAATTGGTATATGTAAGACATGTTTGGAATTTTTGTGTCAGATATGCAGCATTTCATTAGAATCAAGAAGATGCTTGCTGGTGTCACTTTAGTTGCATGATTGCATATTTATTCTATATGTATATTTTATAATGAAGAGGTATTTATATGCAAATGTCTATATTTAAAAATCTTATTTTTCAAATTTTCAAAACTCATTGGTATATTTATTTATTTCAGGCAAGCAGAAGCTTTAAAGGCAACTGTGGCTGGTGAGTATTTATTCAACATTTTTATTGCTACATTAGTTTTAATGAAATAATATCGTAAAATTTCTGAAGAGACAAATACAGTTATGTTTCTCAGATATGAAGATATGTTAGCAAAGCTGAACTGATTCTTTTCAGGTTGCCTTTGTCACTTTTCTGATATAATAATTATGAATTGGCTATATTTAATTCATTTTCTTGGTATAAAGCTACATACTGAACTGGTTATGCATTCTCTAATAATTTTGAAGTATATAAAAAACAATTAAATACTGGGGAAGTCATGCTAATTTTTAATGTCGCTGATATTAAAAGTAATTGTTGTAGCAGTTCATATAATTGGTTTTCTCTGTTTTAGAAAAATGTTAAAATGTAATATTCCTTTTTTATTTTTATTTTTTTGCACATTTTAAAATGCATATGAATTTGATAACTCTTTTTCACTTTTTATTGGAATATCAAAAAAATTTCAGTATTAGACATATGGAAATGCTATTGATAATGTTGTGACACAAAATTTGATTCATGCTGCTCACTTCTGAATATATATTTTTGTTTTAAATACTTTATGCATGCCTGTTTGTATAAGCAAATCATTTTTCCAATGTATAAAACAAAATTTATTCCAAGATTTTTGAGTTGAGGAATGATTATTATATGCATTTAAATTTGTATTAAGAAACTTGTCTTGGTTGTTATACTCAAAATGTTTCATTCGTTTTATCCTCTGACCTTCTTCAGGCATATATTGTACCTTGGAAATTTTGGGGGAATTATGAACCAAGCCTTTTATTCAATCCACAAAAGCAGATTCTTCTCATTCTGTTTTCTATGCTCAGGGGAGATAACTCATATCAGTTAATACACTCCAATCAATTTGCCTTGGTATCACTTCTCTATTTTAATGTTATGTTTTTAAAATATTTTCAGAGATATAAGATGTTTTTGTTTCATAAAACCAGGAAAGGAAACTTGCTGCTTGGTTTTTTAGAACATTTACCAAAAAAAGAAGTTTTATATTACCATCAGATTGTAAACTAAAAGCTTGTTTTATTTGCTTATTTATTAGTATATTATTTAGGAGTGTAAAAATTAAGAATGAACCTACCTCTTCAACCACAGTTGAGATTATGAGAGTTCACAACCCTACACCACAGTTAATTATGAACTCCATAGTCTTTTTTATGGTTGTTTAGTGTGTGCTTTGCTAGGGCGACATATAGTTTTGAATTTAGAGTTTTCCTTTTCATAGACCAGTTGCCAGTTAGAGCACCCAGTTTGTCATGCCATTTAAGCCATAACTGGGGAGTAGGGGGAAGAGATAGATTCATACCTTTCTTAAGGGTATATGCGCAAAAATGAATGTAACACGCTCGATCATTAATTTGAACTTGGCTCCCCAATTTCACGTTATTTTTTAAATTATATTATTATTTTTTTTTAATAAAATTTAAACCATAGATAGTTTTTCCGTTAATCACGCAATATGAATATCTTAAGATGAGTCAATGATTGTGTTAAAATAAACCTTAAGAGATATTTCATGAAATTTACAAATTAAATCTTTATGGAACTTTTCTTGTGTGTATCTTCTATAAAAGTGCTAAACAATGACTCCTTACTGATAAGACATTAAACAGAAGAAGTAATAAAGAGATTTTTCTGCTGACAGCAGCTTTAAAGTTAATTTTGGAGGGTATTTTAAAATAATTTTATTTTAAATCTACAACTAAAAGGGAAGATTTTCCATAAGAGTAGTTAGTCAATTATCAAAAAGTATTCTATAATTGTGTATGCAATGTTTTTGGTTAAGTATTCATTTTTAACAGTCTGTTAGTGTTTTGCTTTTATTTCAACTTTTAACGAGCTTTAATTAAAGAGAATACACTAAGTTCTGCTGAGGTTTGTTGTCCTCTGTTCTACATTCATCCTCATGGTTGCAGTGTGTGTGTACATATTTTTTGACTTTGTGGAATTGTGATAAATATTTTTTTTTTTTTTTTTTTTTTGTAAAGCCTTTTTGTAAGGTACTATAAAAATTATTTTGGGTTTTTTATTTTAGACAGGCTTAAGTGCTTTAATGATTTTTTTGTTCTGCTACTGTAATCATTTTTGTATTTATATATTTGATAGGCCATCTCTATATAAGATGGTGGCAGTTTTAATATTTTTAATTATCAAATTACAAGTGAATCATTAAGTTAATATTTTTTTGCATTTTGAAATGAAGTCATATAAGCAATTCATATTATAAGAATAATTAAAATTTTTAATGTTTTAGCATTTTAAATCAAAATTATGATACATTATCAGTTCCTTTCATCTTTGCTGTCTGAGATGCATTCTGGGCATCAGTTGGTCGGACTGGGTCATTAATGCCATAGTTCTCACCTGTGCCCAATTACCCAGCCTATACACCCCTCTCCAACAGTGTTGTTTCTGTTGGCTTGGGCATGTACATTGTATGTTGAATAGGAGGATTTCAAAGGTCTTTCTGTACAGGGAACTGGTTACTGGCAAGAAGGCACCAAGGTAACCTCATCTTCGCTTCAAGGACATCGGCAAAAGGGATGTGAGGGCAATGGACATGGGCATTGAGAGGAGGGAAGATGTCACCAATGATTGCTCATATTGGAGACATGATTTATATCAAGTGCTGGAGTGAGGAGAGAAGAAATGAAAGCTGCTGCTGCTAGGGAGAAGCATGTTTGACTGAAAGTAAACAAGGAGGTGACATTGGGAGAGATCATCTTCACATGCATTGGTTGCAATTGAGACTGTCACTCCTGTGTGGGCCTGTACAGCTGTAACAGATACTGCATTGCTATCAGCAGCTGAGGCATAACTCTTTGGGTGAAGATCCAATTTTTTTTGAGAACAATAGATACCACATATATGATACATAAATTGAAAATAATAATTTACATCATATTTTTGTTTATTATATAGACACACATGCACACAAGAAAAATATTTCTTGACCAATTTTCAATATATGAAAATTAGAACATTAATCAATCCTTATAGATTTCATCTATAATAATACTTTTTTTTTTTTTTTCATTATGCAGTTGTGGAAAACTTTCTTTTAAAACTGTGCAGTTTATGACCTCAGTCAGAACTGCACATCATTAATCAATGTGCTGTCATCCTAGAAATGCTTACCTTTCAAATATAACTTCATACAGGAGATGAACTGGAAATCAGTTTGTATGACTAAGGGTATGGGGGAAGAATTTTATAGCCACAGAACCATGCTTTCATTTGTGTAACATGGGAGTTACATAATGGAACATTGTCTTCCGAGATCCAGACACTTTTGTTTATCATACTGCTTCTGTATTTTGGTGGCATTCTGTAATTTTAATGGCAATGAGCAATTAAGTCCTATTTGTTGTAACTTTTGATTAGCAAATACACTGTTTTAGTCCCAAAAAACTATGGGCATCACCTTGCTAGAAGAGGATTGGATATATGCTATTTTGGGTGGAGAATAGGAACACTGTTTCTATTGTTTTGATTGTGTTTTAGTTTCAGGGACAAGTTGATGAATCCACATTTCATCCTATGTAAATAGCGTGAGCAAAAAAAAAGTTCTCTGGACGATGCTGACACATGGTCAAAAGTACATAGCTTCCTTCTGGAAAGATGTGAACAAATGAAGAACCCACTCTACAGATACTTTTCATAGATGCAGTTGCTCACAGAGGAATTTTTCCACATACCCCTTGCTAATCTTGTCACCATCTACTAGTTCCTGCATGGTTATGCACAGTCTCTTAAGATGGCAATCTCTCTATCTGGTGCCTATTGTCACTGTCAGTGGCCAACTGAAGCTGGCTATGAATCTGGGAATAGGTACTGTTTACACTGAAATCCAACCACATTTAAAATGCTGATACCAATAATTAATGGCATTATAGGATAGGGTATATGGTTTTAAAATGCCAATACTAATAACATTATAGGATGGGACATGTGCTTCAGGCATGGCTTTAATCTCCTCTAAAAGATTACATCTCTACATTCTAACGGCTCTATGGTTATACCTTATTTTACATTCACAATTGAAACACAAAACATTTATGAGCCTGCAAATTGAAGCATATTCCATATATGGATGCATATTTCTTCAATTTCATTTTCTTTATACTCATTGGTAGTGAATCATTTAATGAACCCTCCTTATCATATAAAATGGGAAATAATCATTGAAATTCTGTTTATAAGTTGCTCTGTTGTAATTTTCAACTTCTTCACTTCATATTTGACATACACATAATCAAATCAAGTATTTACTTCAAGTTTTATTGACCAATATGTGCACATCTTGGTGTGAATTAGTTTCCTTTTTCTAATTAAATATGCTCTTCTAAGATAACTCACCTCAACCTGGAGCCTCTGTACCTCTTTAAGAATGACAAGGTACTTTTGCATGCCTCATGTAATAATATTGTACAGAAATATTTGAGTAATTCCAAGTTTGTCAAACTCCAAAGCTCATAGCCAAAAATAACTGGATTACAGATGCATTAGTGAATCTATTGTACAAGCTTGTAGTTAAAGCAAGTTTGACTGATTTGATCATTTCTACTATGAGAATGGGATTGATTCACATGGAAATAGTTGAGAGATTCTGCAACAATTTTCTGTTAGTGGTAACCTTAGTACAAAGGTGGGAGTAAATAAGTAGGGTCAGCATAGCAGCAATAAAGCTTTCTTCCAGAGAATGTTTGATGGAATGTAATATAAATATCACAGCTTTAGTGGATTTGTAAAAAAAAATTAAAATGTTTGCAAACCAAAAAATATTTACTATATTGAAGTTTTAGCAAAGTGAATTTTATAAAAACTTAAAATAATATTATTGGAATTTATTTTAACTGACTTGAGCATAATCAAATGCAACAATAATGTAATTGACTATTCTAAATCTGCAATCCTAGTTAGTAATTTTTGGTTGTTTCAACATGACTTGTGCTATTTTACTTGTTTGTGTTTTA